ATCTCGGCCTCCCAAAGTGCAGGGATTACAGGCGTGAGCCACCGCGCCCGGCCGATTTATTTATTTTTAACTGATCCTGATATAATCCTCTCTCTCTCTTAAAGTTCTCACTTTGTCACCTAGGCTGGGGTGCAGTGGCACAATCATAGTTCACTGCAGCCTCGAACGCCTAGGCTCAAGCAATTCTCCTCTCTCAGCCTCATGAGTAGCTAGCACTACCAGCTTGTGCCACTGCACTGGCTAACTTTTTTCTTTCTTTTCTTTTCTTTTCCTTTCTTTTTTTTTTTGTAGAGACAAGGTCTCTCTATGTTGGCCAGGCTGGTCTCAAACTCCTGGCCTCAAGTGATCCTCCCACCTCGGCCTCCTAAAGTGCTGGGATTACAGACATGATCCTCCACAGCTGGCCTGATATAATTCTTAAACCGCGTATTGAATATACTGTATTGCTTTTCTCCCTTTAAAGCTAATTGCTCCCTGATTTTAGCTGTCTGCCATAGATGAGTAGCAGCATTCATGATTTCATCAATATGCTGGGAGTTTCACAAAGCTGTTCCACTATTGGGGATGATGCTCTTCCTCATTTTGTCTGACAAATTCCCACACACTATTTATTTATTTATTTTTGAGATGGAGTCTTGCTGTGTTACCCAGGGTGGAGTGCAGTGGTGCAATCTTAGCTCACTGCAACCTCCGCTTCCTGGGTTCAAGTGATTCTCCTGCCTCAGCCTCCCAAGTAGCTGGGATTACAGGCGTGTGCCATGACACCCGCCTAATTTTATTTATTTATTTATTTATTTATTATTATTTTTTATTTTTAGTAGAGACGGGGTTTCGCCATGTTGGCCACGCTGGTCTCAAACTCCTGACCTCAAGTGATCCACCCGCCTCGGCCTCCCAAAGTACTGGGATTACAGGCATGAGCCACCACGCCTGACCTCCACGCACTATTTAAATAAGGGCATTGTCACAAAGATGCAGGCAGAGTGATGGGAAGCCACAAGGGATGGCCTAGACCCCATGGTTAATAACAGAGGGGCATAGCTTGCCAACTATGTCTAGGCTTGAAGGGGCAGGAGAGGGACAGTGGCTGGAACCTGGTGAGAGAGCTGTGATTTTGTGTTCTAGAACTTTATGTTCCAGGAGGGAGCCAGTTGGCAGTACCAACTGGAATCCAACCAGAAGCAGAGGGCAAGGAGCTGGTGGATGCAGGCCACAGAAGCCAGCCTCCCGAGGTGCAGAGCAGGGCGAAGGACAGCAGAGAGTGGGTGTGGAACTGCTTGGGCAAATGGGAACTATTCAGCACTTACCGATCAATGTTAGGGGCTGAGTTGTGTCTCCCTGAAAATCGTATGTTGAGGTCCTAACTCTCAGTACCTCAGAATGTGACTATAATAGGAGGTAGTCTTTGAAGAGGTAATTAAGTTAAAAATGAAGTCAGTAGGGTGGGCCCTAATCCAGTAAGACTGGTGTCCTCATAAGAAGAGATTAGGACAAAACCTTCCCACAAAGAAGAAAGACCATGTGAAGACGCGGGAGAAGAAAGCTGTCTCCAAGGCAAGGAGAAACTAGCCATGTGCACAATAAACTAAACTTGCAGACACCTTGATCTTGGACTTCTGGCCTCCAGAACAGGGAGAAAATTTGTGTGTAAGCCACCCACTCTGTGTGCAAGTGGTGTTAGGGCAGGCCTAGCAAACTTCATACAATCAACAAGCTATTCAGCACATAACTTAATATGTATGTATTTGCCTCTGTTTTCCCTACTGGACAGTTGGATTCTCTAAGACTCAGAATAGTCAAGGAGGTGTTTACATGCTTCTGGAATGAATGGATCATCTAACAAGAAAGTAAAACAGTAAGGCAATCTATGAAATATTATCAAAATGCTGCAGTCCAGGTGGCAATGGGTGGATGACACAGCACAACAGCAATAGCGATGCCATTACAGTCACCAGGCGTGTCGCTGCTCACAGGCACTCACTATGTCCCAGGTGCTGTGAATAGTGCTTTACATGAATGATCTCTTTTACTTTTGCCACAAGCCACGAAGATAGTTGACACTGCCATCCATATTATTATTATTACTATTTTTGAGACAGGGTCTCAGTTCTGTTGACCAGGCTGGAGTGCAGTGGTGTGATCATGGCTCACTGCAACCTTGAACTCCTGGGCTCAAGCCATCCTCCCACCTCAGTCCCCTGAGTAGCTGGGACTACAGGCATGCACCACCACACCTGGCTAATTTTGCCCAGGCTGGTTTTGAACTCCTGGTTTAAGCAATCCTCCCACACTGGCCTCCCAAAATGTTGGGATTACAAGCACGAGCCACTGAGCCCAGCTCCACATTTTAACTGTTGGAGAAACAGAGGCTTGAAAAGTTACGTAGCTTGCCCAGAGTGATGCAATTAGTGGGCACATCTACAATGAGACAGTGGGATTAATATGAGGCTGAGTGGTGTTGTAGTGGAAGGAACGTGGCCTTTGTGAGAGTTTACAAGCACCACTTCCTTATCTGTAAAATTATCAGGACATTACGTATGGCAGCAGGTGGTTGAACGACTGAATGAGACACTTGAGGTTCCTTGGTACCTCCTGCAGCATGGTAGTGCATGGTGTAAGTGCCCCAGCCCCTCACAGCCTTGGGTGGCTGTGGTCCCTACTCTAGAAGACAGTCTCAGATGTCCATTCTGCCTGCCCCCTGCTGCCCAACAACTCCCTCCTGTATTATGAATGAATGCTTCTTGGGTGTGTACTTCTTGTGCAGCCTCGGAAGGCTGTTATCCCAAAAGTACCTACAGTCTGCCCACCAATATTCTGCTCTCAGTCATAGAAGCAGGCTGGAAAGGCAAACTTCAAAGGATTGGAAGAGGAAGGGACCACCCCAAGATTAGAGAGAACATTTCTGCCTTGCAGTTCTTCCCCTATTGAGGGTTTGTGTCTTTGTTCCCCCTCCTTGTTCTTAGAATAAACCCTTTAACTCTTTAGCTGCAGTGACTGCACTAACCTACAGTAGCAGTTCCTGGTGGGAGAAGAGAAGTGTGCCTGTAATCTGGGCTGGCAGATAGTGCTGGCTGGGACAGAATTAGAAAGTTGTTAGGAGGCCTGGGAAGACTATATTTAGCTGGGAGCATGTTTACTCTCCCCAGAGCATGGCCTTTTAGACCTCCTGAGGGCTGGGAGACTACAGCCTTTACACTTGGCCTGGGGCCAGAGCTGTGCTGTCTCTTCTCTGTTACAGAGGATCTGGAGGCAGCAGTGAAATCCACTACAGGTTAGCCCTGGGCCTCAAATCACTGGATTCCTGCTCTGTGTGTGTGTGTGTGTGTGTGTGTGTGTGTGTGTTGTGGGGAGGGGGGAGGGGGGCGGGGGAGCGGCCTTCTGCTGGGCTCTTGAGCCTACCAGCCTCCAGCTTTAGGCATAGCTTAGGCAGCAGTGTGAGGTCCTGGAAAGGGCCCTGTCTGCCCCGCCCCCACAGGCTGGCTCTATCAGTTGCTTATCAGACAAGTTTAACTTCCTGAGGCCTTGCTTTCTCATCTATAATGAGGATGTTAATAGCTACCTTATGGGAAGGTATGTGGATTCAGTAAGATAACACACACAAGTAGTAAGTACTCATCAAACAGTCCCTTCTTCCCCCTCACCAGCCTCTGAGTGGGAGGACTCTAGCATGACTTGACTAGGTTCCCAGGAGACATTGTGTGTGATTCAAAACATTCATTGGATTAAAAGTTCAAATATGAATACCATCTCTTTACAAGTCACACTCTGAAGCACGTATAAAGGAAGAAAAAATTCTCCCTTCCCTGCCTGCAATTTCACTCCAAGATACCCCATGTTCACAGCCTTGGGTGTCCTTCTGCAGAATTTCTATCCTCAAACACAAACATATATAGAGGTGTTTCTTTTTCTTTTATTTTTCCTAACACGTTGAGATTCCATTAAACATGTTTCTTTGCCACTTCGTCTTTCATTTAAACATGTCATGTACGTTAACCTAGGTAAATACATATGGATCTAGCTCATTCATTTTAATAGCTGCATAGGGTTTCAAAGAAAGTATGAACAATAATTTTCCAGCCATTTCTCATCTGATAGATTTTTTTTCCCACTACAAACAATGCTGCAACGATGATCCTTAAGCAAACATCCTCATGAATTGATGTTTTAATTTCTACGAGATTCTTTCCCCGAAATATGATTACTGGGTCAAAGGGTATACGCTACACACAGTTTATATTTTTTTACAGTTTAACACTGAGAGATGACTTTCTGCAGATTTTTTCGTTTCCTTCTCGGCGTTTGTTTGTTCCGGACACTTTCACTTTTCGAGTTCCAAGGAGGAGGTAGCCCGCGACGCCGGCCGCGGGAAACACGAGTTGCAGCCAGCATCCCAGTTAGCGTGGATGCAGGTGGCACTCCGGGGACGAGGGGCTTAGTGGGAGCACTACACAGCCAGAGGCGGAGGCCCGAAATCTAGCACGACGCTGGGCAAGTGACGGCCCCTCTCCGGCCTTCGTTTTCTTCTGCGTAGTCTGTGACTCTGAACAACATTAGGCTCAGCGTGGGCCTAGAGCTGGTGACCTCAAATCTCGGCCTTTGTTGGCTTCCCCAGGACCGTAGGCTGCGCCTCACCCCCACTCTGCCCCACTACTTCTCCTCCGCGTGGCTCCACCTTTTCAGAGGAGTTGGCTCAACAAGGCGACAGAGAGTAAAGCAACCACCATAATGAATCCCTCCCCCAGCTCGGTCATTTATTATTTCTGTCCGGCTTTGGCTCGCTCCCTCCCTTTTGGCTCTGCTATCGAGTGCTCCTGCCTGAAACTGGCAAGTAACCTCGGAGCGCGCCCGTTCGGCCTATCACTTGCTTCTGCCTGCGCCGCTCTCCCGCAGGGGCTGTGGTGAAAGCACAGTGATCCTCGGCTCGGCCAGCAACTTACGCGCCCTTTATCTGGAGCAGCCGCTTCCGGTTCCGGTAGCAGCTAGTCACACTTGATCCCAGGCGCAGATCATGGCAGGCAGCCGGCTGGAAACCGTAGGGAGCGTCTTCTCGCGGTGTGTGCTCCGAGCCGCGGTGGGCTGAGGGTGCTTCCCCCAGGCTGGGGTTCTCAGCTGGTCACGCTCTTCCTTGGGGCGGACCTGAGCAGGGCGAGGCGTTCTGCAGGGTGCGGGGGCTGAGCTGGGTGAGATTCCCATGTTTTCTTCTGGCTTCGAATAGTTGTGCCTGAGGATGCCTCTCCTTGCGTTTATGTGTCATGTTAAAGATTATTGCAGCCGCCTCTCCCCGAGTGGAGGTCTCTGGGAAGAGGAAGGGAGGAAGAGCCCGATGGGCCTGACTAGACCGCTCTTGAATTTTTCCGTGACGGAACATGGGTGGGACGCACAAAAGAAGATAGAGGGATTTAACCCCTGAGCGTTGTTAGTTTGGTTTGGGATGTGGACAGACCTTCCCTGTAGGTGGGGAGCAGTCCTCCCCCTATCTGTGTTGCAAACCGCGTAATACCTTTAATGTCCCAAGTTGTGCTAGACTGATTAAGGGGCTTTGGCAGGCTACTGCAAATGACCCAGTTTCGTTCTGTTCCCTCTCTAAGGACTCGGAACCTGATTCGGGCCGGGGTGCTGAAGGAGAAACCTCTGTGGTTGGACATATATAACGCCTTTCCCCCGCTGAGGGAGCCCGTCTTCCAAAGACCCCGATTGCGATATGGCAAAGCCAAAGCTTCCATCCAGGACATCTGGTACCACGAGGATCAGATTAGAGCGTGAGTGCTCAGCCCTGTAGTGGACAGGAGGCAACAGAACTTAAGAAGGGGAGGTTTCGGTAGCAGGCTGGGAATTCAAATATGAAATTGAGTCAGGGGCTTGCCCTGTGGAGAAGACTTATCTAGCCAAATTAGGGAGTCAGCACCCCTTCCCCATAGTGAAACTGAAGTTCTGAAAACTGGAATCTGGAGCCCAGCAACTGAAAGATTATTGCAATTATAGCTGCCTGTTTCTGGGCATCTGCTTTGGGCCAGGAACTGTACTTTTGCAAGCATTATCTCGTTCTCTAAAGGCCTTACTCTAACTTACAAGGAAGTATTGCTTCCGTTTTATTCAAGGAGACTGCGAAGCTCCCGGAAATTAGCTAACTTCTATTAATTACTAAATACATAGGAGGGTGGCAGATCTGAGAATCACATCTCTGACTCCAAGCTTATGGTGATCATTATGCCTGCCTTCTCCAGGAGTAGAGATAGGAGGAACGTGGTCTATGGATCTAGTAGTCCGGATCTTTGAAGCCACTCAGATGAAAGGATGCTTAAAAGTCTAAGAGAGGCCGGGCGTGGTGTTTCACGCCTGTAATCCCAACACTTTGGGAGGCCAAGGCGGGCGGATCACCTGAGGTCAGGAGTTCGAGACGAATCAGACCAATATGGTGAAACCCCGTCTCTACTAAAAATACAAAAATTAGCCGGGCATGATGGTGGGTGCCTGTAGTCCCAGCTACTCGGGAGGCTGAGACAGGAGAATTGCTTGAACCTGGGAGGTGGAGGTTGCAGTGAGCCGAGATTGCACCACTGCATTCCAGCCTCGGCGACAGAGTGAGACAAATCACTAGGAATTTAAAGGAAAATCATGTGTTCTTTGTTTATTTTTTTTAGCATCCGTTTTCTCTTTTTTTCTTAAGCTCAGTGGCAAGAGTATTTCCTCTTTTGTTCTAAAAGCAACACATGCTACTTGTAGAAAATTTAGATACATGAGGAAAGCATAAAGAAGAAATCACAGGCTGAATGTGGTAGCTTGTGCCTGTAATCCCAGTGCTCTGGGAGGCGTAGGCGAGGATAGCTTGTGCCCAGGAGTTTGAGACCAGCCTGAGCAACATAGCAGGACTTGTCTCTACCGAAAAAAAAAAAAAAGGAGTTGTCTTAGTTTACACTCTGATTAGCAGTTTCTGAGAGTTCTTACTTTATCCTTGTCAGTATTGGTAATGATTATTTAAGATTTTTTTTTTTCTGAGCCAGGTATGGTGGCCCATGCCTGTAATCCTAGCACTTTGGGAGGCTGAGGCGGGCAGATTGCCTGAGTTCAGGAGTTCGAGACCACTTTGGGCAACATGGTGAAACCCTGTCTTGACTAAAATACCAAAAATTAGCCGGGCATGGTGGTGGGTGCCTGTAGTCCCAGCTACTCTGGAGGCTGAGGTGGGAGAATTGCTTGAACCTAGAAGGTGGAGGTTGCAGTGAGCTGAGATTGCACCACTGCACTCCAGCCTGGGCAACAGAGGGGGACCCTGTCTCCAAAAGAGACAGGATCCTGATCTAGGTAGTTTTTTTTTTTTTTTTTTTGAATCGGAGTCTCACTCTGTCTCCCAGGCTGGCGTGCAGTGGCACGATCTTGGCTCACTGTAAGCTCTGCCTTCCGGGTTCACGCCATTCTCCTGCCTCAGCCTCCCGAGTAGCTGGGACTATAGGCGACTGCCACCACGCCTGGCTAATTTGTGTATTTTTAGTAGAGACGGTGTTTCACCGTGTTAGCCAGGATGGTCTCGATCTCCTGACCTCATGATCCGCCTGCCTTGGCCTCCCAAAGTGCTGGGATTATAGGCATGAGCCACTGCACCTGGCTGATCTAGGTGGTTTTAAAATAATAACCCCAGCACTTTGGGAAGCCCAGGCAGGCGGATCACGAGATCAGGAGTTCGAAACCAACCTGGCCAACATGATGAAACCCCGTCTCTACTAAAAATTAAAAAATTAGCTGGGTGTGGTGGCCCGGGCATGTAATCCCAGCTGCTTGGGAGGCTGAGGCAGGAGAATAGCTTGAACCTGGGTGGCGGAGGTTGCAGTGAGCTGAGATGATGCCACTGCACTCCAGCCTGGGCGACAGAGCAAGACTCTGTCTTGGGAAAAGAAAACCAGTAATTGTGTCTAGAGATTTTAATTTCTGTTTCTTTGACAAGTTTCTCTACTTTCATGATTATTGGCCATTTGAATTTATTTTTGAAATATCTGTCTTCTTTACCTATTTTAATAATTGTTATTCTTGGCCGGGCGCGGTGGCTCAAGCCTGTAATCCCAGCACTTTGGGAGGCCGAGACGGGCGGATCACGAGGTCAGGAGATCGAGACCATCCTGGCTAACACGGTGAAACCCCGTCTCTACTAAAAAATACAAAAAACTAGCCGGGCGCGGTGGCGGGCGTCTGTAGTCCCAGCTACTCGGGAGGCTGAGGCAGGAGAATGGCGTGAACCCGGGAGGCGGAGCTTGCAGTGAGCTGAGATCCGGCCACTGCACTCCAGCCTGGGCGGCAGAGTGAGACTCCGTCTCAAAAAAAAAAAAAAAAAAATTGTTATTCTTGATCAGTAAGAATTCTTTATTGAATTGAAGATACTAAGTCTTTGACATACACTCCAGACATCTATTTATATGTTATTTGTTATTAATAATGCTTGTTTAATTTATAGAAGCTGGTTATTTCATTCCACTAATTTTTTTGGTGCCTTCTATGTGTTAAGCATTGTGCTAAACATTGTGCTAGGCACTGAAGTATTTTATGTATTCAAATCTACCCACTTTTTCTTTTTGCTGGCTTCATTGCCTTTAGGCTTAGCGGGTTTGGGAAAGTCTTTTTCAGTAAACTCAACTCTCTTTTTCTGAGTTATCTTTCAAAGTGCAAATGAGGGGTTGAAACTAGTAGAAATATTAATTCTTTAATCTTCTTTCCTCCTTCACTCTCCTTTTCCCAAAACTTAGTCACAGAAAACGTGCTTCTAATGGTTTCCTAGCAACATTCTTTGTTGTTGTTGTTGTTGTTGTTGTTTTTGAGATGGAGCCTTGCTCTATCACCCAGGCTGGAGTGCAGTGGTGTAATTTTGGCTCACTGCAACCTCCACCTCCCGGGTCCAAGCAGTTCTCCTGCCTCAGCCTCCTAAGTAGCTGGAATTACAAGTGCACGCCACCACGCCTGGTTAATTTTTGTATTTTTAGTAGAGATGGGGTTTTACCATGTTGGTCAGGCTGGTCTCGAACTCCTGACCTTGTGATCCGCCCGCGTCGGCTTCCTAAAGTGTTGGGATTACAGGTATGAGCCACCCTGCCTGGCCTCCTAGCAACATTCTTAAAAATATCTTTAAAGTTCTCTATTTTTTTCATACTAAAAAAAAAAGAAAATAGATGTCACAACTTTTTTGGGAATACTTTTCTGCTGCCAGTCAGTTTTCATGTTTCCCCTTTTGTATGCCCTGAGAGCTTTGTTCATACTGCCCCTGTTGTGGCCTTAGCTTGTCTTTAATAGCTCTACATTACAAATGCCCTGTCTTTATTCAGTAACAAACATTCATTAAGCACTGTCATGGGCCAGGCATTGTCACATTCATTCCTGTAACTTCAGTGCCTAGCCCAATGTGTGGCATGTAAGTTGCTTACTAATTGTCTCTTGAATGAAGAAGCTAATGGATTAATGAACAGATGAACTATGAGGCTGGTAGAGAGAAATGCAAGAAAATTCCTTGGAGAGGAATGGTGGAGGGCCAGAATTGGGACTGTTTGGAGAATGGCCATCAGAGTTTTATTAGTTTTCTGAAACAATTTCAGCAACAGTAGGCTAGAAACCACTTCTATGGCCACATTTAGCATCCCTATACATTTATCTGAGATCTAAATAAGTGGTAAATCTCTCACTAGGAGTTTAGTGACAAAGCCCCTCCCTTTGAATACTGATGTTAGTTAGCTTTTAGTACCTAGAATTTGTCTAGTTCCTTTTTCTCTTAAATATTTAGACCAATGAATGTGCCTAATTGACTTTGATAATACACATCCATTATTCTTACTGTTATTTCAGGATGCTAGAAAATGGAATTTATAAGGTCATTATGTTCTGAATTGGAGCCCAGGCTTCCCCCTGGGACCCCTAACCCCAGCACTCTTTTAAGGTAGTAGAACAAGTATGTTCTTGCTCTACTTGGAAATTTTCGGCATAGGACATGAGATCTTTAAGGAGATTAAATGCTTTTTCAGCACCTTTCTTCTCAGACCCATTGCATGTACTTTGTGGTTCATTGATACATTAAAATCATTTGTGCTTTGCTCTCAGGTATAATCCCGGCACTTTAGGAGGCTGAGGCGGGTGGATCACTTCAGGTCAGGAGTTCGAAAGCAGCCTGGGCAACATGGTGAAACCCCATCTCTACTAAAAATGCAAAAATCAGCCAGGCGTGGTGGCGTGCACGTGTAGTCCCAGCTAATCTGGAGGCTGAAGTGGGAGGATCGCTTTAACCCAGGAGGCGGAGGTTGCAGTGAGCCGAGTTTGCACCACTGCACTCCAGCCTGGGCGACAGAGCGAGACTCCGTCTCAAAAATAAAGAAATAAAAAAAAAAATTAAAAAAAAGTCATTTGTGCTTCTGCTGTAGATAACATTGGAACTGGGTGATAAATGATTGGAGAATGTGGAATAGTTTACTGGTCCCTCTTGTTAAATACTACCTTTTTTTTTTTTTTTTTTGCGACAGAGTGTTGCGCTCTCTCTCTCTCCCAGACTGGAGTGCAGTGGCTCAATCTCAGCTCACTGCAACCTTCACCTCCCAGGTTCAAGCGATTCTCCTCCTCGGCCTCCCGAGTAGCTGGAATTAAAAGCATGTGTCACCACGCCTGGCTAATTTTTTTTTTTTTTTTTTTGTATTTTTAGGGAGACGGGGTTTCACCATGTTGGCCAGGCTGGTCTTAAACTCTTGACCTCTAGTGATCCACCCACCTCGGCCTCCCAAAGTGCTGGGATTACAGGCATGAGCCACCATGCCCAGCCTGTTAAATATTATTTCTTTAAATTCTTTTTTTATTCTTAAATTTTTTACTATTGTCAGAACATATAAAAATTATTTCTATTAATGCCAAAATATTATCTTGTATTTATATAATTTATTGAAGCTCTTTGTGGCCCTCTTTTTTTTTTTTTTTTGGTGTTTTTGATATTTAAAAAAGCTTATAGAGTGGTTGTACATGCCAGTAGTTCCAGCTACTTGGGAGGCTGAGGAAGGAGGACCATTGGAGTCTAGGAGTTCAAGGTTGTAGTACACTATGATTGTACCTGTGAATAGCCACTGCACTCAGAACAGCCTGGCAACATGGCAAGACCCCATCTCTAAAAAAAAAAAAAAAAAAAAAAAGAAGGCACTTACAACAAAATAAATAAAACAAAAAGATGTATTAAAACCTAAGTGTAAAAAGTGAGATCATAACAATACTGGAAGAAAACATAGGAGAATTAAAAAATCATCTGAGTGATAAAGGTCTTTTTAAGCATGATATAAAACTCCGAAGCCATAAAAGAAAATATTGGCCAGGCGCGGTGGCTCAAGCCTGTAATCCCAGCACTTTGGGAGGCCGACATGAGCGGATCACAAGGTCAGGAGATCGAGACCATCCTGGCTAACACGGTGAAATCCTGTCTCTACTAAAAAATACAAAAAACTAGCTGGGCGAGGTGGCGGGCGCCTGTAGTCCCAGCTACTCGGGAGGCTGAGGCAGGAGAATGGTGTAAACCTGGGAGGCGGAGCTTGCAGTGAGCTGAGATCCAGCCACTGCACTCCAGCCTGGGCGACAGAGCGAGACTCCCTCTCAAAAAAAAAAAAAAAAGAAAATATTAAAATTTTCTGTATAAAAAAGTACCATAAGCAAAATCAAAAGACAGCCAACAAACTGGGAAAGATCTTTGCAATGGACTTTTGCAATATGACAAAGGACTAATTTTCTATGTATGTGGCTACAAAGTTTGCTTAGAAATCATTAAGAAAGAGACCACTGTCATAGTTTGGGCTGCTATAACAAATTACCCTAGACCAGGTGGCTTATAAACAAACGAAATTTCTTTCTCATAGTTCCAGATGCTGGGAAGTCTGAGATCAGGGTGCCAGTAGGGTCAGGTTCTGGGTGGGACTGTCTTCCTGATTCCTCACATTGAGAGGAGCAGAGAGTGGAAGCAAGCTCTCCTATCTCTTATCGGGGCACTCATCGCATCATGAGGGCTGATTACCATGACCTGATTATCTCCAAAAGTCTCCATCTCTAAATATCATCACATTGGGGATTAGGATTTCAACATACTAATTTTGGTGGGACACATTTAGTCCATAGCAGCCATCAAATCAAAAAGTGGACAAAGAACTTGGACAGTTCACAGTAAAGGAAATTCAGTTTGCTCTTAAACTCGAAAAGATGTCCAGTCTCTTTCAAAAGAAAAGCAAATTAAAACTATAAAGAGTTCTGGTTTCTTACCTATCAGGTTGGCTAAGATCAAAAAGTTGGAGAACGTGTGTGCGTGTGTATGTGTGTGTGTGTGTGTGTGTGTGTGTGTGTTTGTGTATTTTTTTTTTTGTTTGTTTTTGAGACAGGATCTCACCCAGGGTGGGATGCAGTGGCGCCTATCATGGCTCACTGTAGCCTTGACCTCCTGGTCTCAAGTGATCCTCCCACCTCAGCCTCCTGAGTAGCTGGGACTACAGGTGTATGCCACCATTCCTGGCTAATTTTTAATTCTTTTGTAGAGATGGGGTCCCACTATATTGCTCAGGCTGGTCTTGAACTCCTGGCCTCAAGTGATCCTCCTGCCTTGGCTTCCCAAAGTGCTGGAATTACAGGCATCAGTCACCACACCTGGTCTAAATATATATATATTTTTTCACTGGGATTACAGGTGTGAGCCACTGCACCTGGCTCATGTGTGTGTGTGTATATATTTTTTTGTTTTGTTTTGTTTTGTTTCTTTTTCTTTTTGAGACAGGGTCTCAGGTCTCACCATATTGCCCAAGCTGGTGGTGAGCTTCTGGCCTCAAAAGATCCTCCTGCCTCAGCTTCCCAAGCAGGTGGGATTATATGTATGAGCCTCTATGCTCAGCTGGAGAATGTCATTTGGTCAGGGTGTGCGGAGATAGGCACTCATGTATTACCGATGTGAATGTAAATTGGTGCGGCCACTTTGGAAAGCATTTTGGCAATTTGGAAGGCTTAATTACAAAGGCACATACCTTGATCCAGTAATACCACATTTGTGAATTTATGCCACAGACTTATTTACGTGGTGCGCTAAAATTATAAATAGAGATGATGATTGCAGCACGGTTTAGAGTAGCAAAGGACTGGAAACAATCTCCATGCACTGATAAGGCAAGATGTAGGGAGGAGGAATGGGGAGTGACTGCTCAGATACAGTGCCTCCTTTGGGGGTGATGACAGTGTTTTGGAACTAGATAGAGGTGTTAGTTGCACAGCTTTGTGAGTTTTCTACATGTCACTTAATTGCACACTGAAAAATGTTAAATTTGGGCTGGGGACAGTGGCTTATACCTGTAAGCCCAGGATTTTTGGAAGCCAAGGTGAGAGGATCTCTTGAGGCTAGCAGTTCAAGACCAGCCTGGGCAACATAGTGAGACTGTATCTCTACAAAAAAATTTAAAACTTAGCCAGGCATGGTGGTGCTGCGAACCTGTAGTTCCAGCTACTCAGGAGGCTGAGGCAGGAGGATTGCTTGAGCCCAGGAGTTTGAGGCTGCAGTGAGCTATGATCACAGCACTGCTACCTGCCTGGGTGACACAGTGAGACCCTGTCTCTTTGGGCGGAGGGGGGGGAGTTAATTTTATGATGTGTGAATTTTATCTCAGTTTTTATTATTTATTTTTATTTTGTTATTATTTTTTGCGACAGAGTCTTGTTCTGTCGCCCAGGCTGGAGTGCAGTGGTGCGATCTCCACTTACTGCAACCTCCGCCTCCTGGATTCAAGCGATTCTCCCACCTAACCCTCCCAAGTAGCTGTGACTACAGGCATATGCCACCATGCCTGCTAATTTCTTTGTATTTTTAGTAGAGATGGAGTTTCACCATGTTGAACTCCTGGTCTCAAGTAATCTGCCTGCCTCAGCCTCCCAAACTGCTGGGATTATAGGCATGAGCCACTGTGCATAGCCATACCTCAGTTTTTAAAAAGGCAAGATGTAGAGCAAGGTTTACTATTCTTTGGGTTAAAAATGTGGCTGGGGACAGGAAATGATAGTGCATATGTGCTAGTATATTAGTGGAATATTTCTGGATGGATATACAAGAAATTGATTAGTATTGCTTCCTGGGAAGGGAACTGGGGGGCTGGGGTGCAGAAATGGGAGGGAGTGTTACTTTTCACTGGCCACCCTTTTGTGCTATTTGATGTATTTACCATGTGCATGTGTGCATTACTTATCTAAAAAAACAAAACTGTTCAGCTTAGGCTTTGTGGGTTGTACTGTACTTAACTCTTCAGGAACTAGCACTTATTTATTTCTTTTATTCCATTCTCATTCACAGTCTATAATCAGAGATTTATATTATGTTGTTTGCATTTTCTAGGAAGTTTTATTCAGTGTATGGGTCTGGTCAAAGAGCTTTTGATCTGTTCAATCCAAACTACAAGTCTACCTGTCAACGGTAAGCCATTTTATAAGTCCTAGGCTATTCATATTATTTTTTAAGGATTTCATTATCCATTTGATACTGTGTAACAGCGTGTCTTAACAACGCTTACAAACAGACCTAAAATGTGACTGCTTGGAATTACAGGTTTGTGGAGAAGTACACTGAGCTGCAGAAACTTGGAGAAACAGATGAAGAGAAGTTATTTGTGGAAACAGGGAAGGCTTTATTGGCAGAAGGTGTCATTTTAAGACGAGTTGGCGAAGCAAGGACTGTGAGTAGTTCATTGTTAAAATTGTTACTGGGTTTATAGTTGTCCCTCAGTATGCACAGGGGTTTGGTACTAGGGCCCCTGCGGATACCAAAATTCACGGATGCTCAAATCCCTTTTATAAAGTGCTGTAGGTTTTGCATATAACCTACACATATCCTCCCATATACTTTAATCATATCTAAATCACTTACATAACACAATGTAAATGCTATATAAGTAGTTATACTCTATTTTTAAAAATTTATATTTTTTTATTGTTTTTTTTTATTTATTTACTGCTAAAATATTTTTGATCTGTGGTTTGTTGAATCTGCATTTGTAGAACCTGCAGATGCAGAGGGTTGACCAGAGTTGCCAATCTGATGGAAGTTAAAGAGAGACTTGGTTTTCTTTCCCTAACCTTGGCTTATGTTCTTAAACTCCAGGTCAAATACTGTTACACTGAATATACTAGAATTTTGTGGTAATGAGTGCTACTTGAAACAAGTGAGTCGTCATTAGGGCTTTTGAAATTGTGGTTCTATAGACTTTTTAAAATCATGTTTACTATTTGTTATAGTAGAATTGGATCTGAGATATTAGTGCTAAATTTTTCACTCAGTGATAGAATATGCCTAGTTATATATCTTTAGCCAATTAATTGAGTGAAAATATAACACCTGTGTGATACTTACATCTGGTCTTTTAAGCAACATGAAGGTAGTCACGATTCCTGGAAATCCGAACACTTGAGTGTCAGACCACAGACTGCGGTGGAAGAGAACGAGACTCAGAAAGAAGTTCCACAGGACCAGCATTTGGAGGCACCTGCAGACCAGTTGAAAGGTCTCTCGCCTCCCTGAAGGACCTGTATACTGTGTATGCTGGCATTCACGCTACTCACTGGCTGAATGTTGAGCTATTTTTAAACAGTTGAACTGTGTAAATGTTTCTTTGATCTCTGAGGTATTATGTTTGCCTTCTCTTAGTTATTTCTGGGTTGTCATAAAGCTCGGTATCATAGTTTGACAGAAGCAGTTATGCGAACTTTTATATTACTAAATAAAGAATTCCCTAGCTGGGTTATAAAGTAAATTTACTTTGAATTGTAAATAACATGAAGAAACCTTTATAAAGATTGTTCAAATGGGACTCAGTCTGACTAGGCTTGCTTTGATGTTTGTTAGTATGTGGGCTGGCTACATTTGATTCCCTGGTACATATTTCTTCTGATCCATCAAACTTCTACATGTACACATGGTGTGATCCCTTGGCTAACTGGTTTTGTCTGCAGAGAATCTTTGTACTTCTTGCTATAGAATGATTATCTTTCCACTTGAGAGGCCAAGCTGACTTGCACTTTGTGGTAAGAGTGGGGACCTGTCATTGCTAATGCACAAAGGCCAAAACTGTAACTTTAATGTCATGGATTGAGTGTGCTGGAGACAGTTAACATAGGTCTGCACAGACTAGGCTGTTCAGTAAATACTTGCTGAATAAATAAGTGAATGAATGGTTATATCCAGCTAAAGACTGGATTCATATGGTGTAGATAACAGGATTGCCAAGAAAGGATGCTCTCCACCAGCATCCACCTGCCTCCCGGGGGCCAAGGTGTACCTACAAGTCTTTATCAACTGCCCTGCCTTCCTCATTTCCCTAGGTTTTACTAAATACATGAAATATCCCTCTGAGATTGCAGCCTTTGTATATGTGGTCAAGCCAGTGGTTTTCAGCTGTCAGTAGTAAGCTGCTTCAGAAATTCCCTATTTTAAAACTCATGTAGCTTTTCTATCCAGTGGTTCTTTGTGTGTGGTCTCGTCTCTCCTGGTACGCTGTGAGGCAGGTCCACATCTCACAGTCTGGACATGGTACACATCCATGCACGTGGGTGCTCAGTTATGCAGGTGAATGAATACATGAGGCAAAAGCAGCTCTCAGCCGTGCTGCTTCCCCCTCGACCTTTATCACTGTTTCACAATTGCTTGCATTTGGAGAATGCTTTGCTTTTTGGTAGGGAAGTAAATTTCATCCATTCAAAGACATTACACAACCATTGAGACCAAACATCGGGCCAGACCTTGGGAAGAGGACTTAAAAAGCAGATGAAAGACACAGTCTGTTCTCAGAGGAACAAAGAATTGAGGGGTCACTCATCTCTTTAAACCTTAGGTTTCTGGGTTTTTAAGGGCAGGGTTTTTTTTGCCACAATGATGAAGACTTAAAAAAATTTTTTTCCTTCATGTCTGGGTTGATGTCCCATTTTTGTTTGTTTTCCTCCTCTTGTAGATTTTTAATTTTTTTTTTTTTTTTTTTTTAAGCGATGGAGTATCACTCTGTTTCCCAGGCTGGAGTACAGTGGAGCCATCTTGGCTCACTGCAACCTCTGCCTCCTGGGTTCGAGCAGTTCTCCTGCCTCAGCCTCCCGAGTAGCTGGGATTACAGGTGTATGCCATGAAGCCTGGCTAATTTTTGTATGTTTAGTAGAGACAGGTTTTACCATGTTGCCCAGGCTGATCTCAAACTGCTGGCCTCAAGTGATCCACCCGTCTCAACCTCCCAAAATGCTGGGATTACAGGCGTGAGCCACCATGCCTGGCCTTACATTTTTTTTAAATTTTAGGAGATGGGGGTCTCACTGGGTCACCCAGGCTGGGTGCAGTGGCGCATATGCCGCTGCAGTCTTAAACTCCTGGGCCGAAGCCATCCTGGCTCACCTCCCGAATAGCTAGGACTACAGGCATGTGCCACCATGCCTGGCTCTTTAACCTTTTTTTTTTTTTTTTTTGTAGAGATGGAATCTTGCTATGTTGCCCAGGCTGGCCTGATCTCAAACTCCTGGCCTCAAGCGATCCTCCTGCCTCAGCCTCCCGAAGTGCTGGGATTACAGGCCTGAGCCACTGTACTGGGGCTGAAGACTTTTAAAGAAGTTATTTGTTGCATAATTCTTTAAAAAAATTATACATGCACATGGTTCAAAACTTAACAGTAAAAAGCTAGTCTACCACCCCTGTTCACCAGCCACCCTTTTTCCCTTCCCTGAGGCCACCACTGTCACCATTTCCTTGTGTGTTCTTCCAGAAATATTTTGGGCATGGATGGGACACTATGCATACTGTTCTGTACCTTGCTTTTCTAGTTAATGTGTCTCAGAGATCCACTGTGATTTAATCAGTGCCTGACTGAAGAAAGTGTTCTTTGTTTTACTGTGTTGCAAATGGGCTGCTAGAGTTACGGGATGCTGGATCAAGGAGTAGATCATTTTGAGTTTGCAAATCTTCGTCCATAGAAATTGTGCTTAACTAGACTCTCATAGCAATGTATGAGAATGCATTTCCCTACACATTCTGATCTTGTTAAACCAGACTGGGACTCTGGACCAGAAGGGAAAGACCATCCCTGTATAGCAAATTTCTGGATGGGGAAAAAAGCTGCTGTCACTCATTGACTTCTTTAGGTTGAGTCTCAGTGATCAAAACATAGTGAAAGGTGTGAAGCTTACTCTGGAAACTCAGAACTATTCCCACAGTTTGGGCAAAAGCCATCATCAGATCCCCATCACGTTTTAGAGAGAATGGAAGCATGACTGCATTCTTGGCTTTAAAGAGCTTAAAATCAGGCCGGGCTCCGTGGCTCATGCCTGTAATCCCAGCACTTTGGGAGGCCAAGGCGGGCGGATCACCTGAGGTCAGGAGTTTGAGACCAGCCTGGCCAACATAGTGAAACCCCATCTTTCCTAAAAATACAAAAAAATTAGCTGGGCGTGGTGGCGTGTGCCTATAATACCAGCTACCTAGGAGGCTGAGGCAGGAGAATTGCTGGAACCCAGGAGGCAGAAACTGCAGTTGAGCTGAAATCGTGCCACTGCACTCCAGCTTGGGCGACAGAGCAAGACCCTGTCTCAAAAACAACAACAACAACAAAAGCTTAAAATCGAGTTGGGACCACAGGAGTGACTTGTGAAACAGCAAGATGAACAGGAATCCTTTTAAACTCTGATATAAAAGTACAGTAGAGGTTCAGGGGCAAGGAATCAGTTCTGGATTTGTCTAGGAATACTGCATGAGACCCTGGAAAGGCAGTGGGATGGACATGTACATGCAGTTTCTTTGGCCAGGAACACCGTCCCTTCCACCATGGTCTGTAGGAATTGAACCTTCCGTGCCCTTTTCAAATGGTGTCTGTGCTCAGAAACTACATAATATCAAGCCCCTTACTGAACCCCCTACAGATTGTATTCATAAGGTGCTTCACTGCTGTTGGTCTACCTGGTCTACTGTTTGTACTCCTGCCTCATTTACTGTGGCCTTCATTCAAGTAGTAATGATTCTCTACCTATTAAGAGTATAGGGTGGGTGTGGTGGCTCATGCCTGTAATCCTAGCACTTTGGGAAGCCAAAATGGGCAGATCACCTGAGGTCAGGAGTTTGAGACCAGCCTGGGCAACATGATGAAACCCTGTCTCTACTAAAAATACAAAAATTAGCCAGGTGTGGTGGCAGGCACCTGTAATCCCAGCTACTTGGCAGGCTGAGGCAGGAGAATCGCTTGAACCCAGGAGGCGGAGATTACAGTGAGCTGAGATCATGCTACAGCACCCCAGCCTGGGCAACAGAGGAGACGCCTTCTCGAAAAATAAAATTAAAAAAAAAAAAAAAAGTAGTATAAAAGAGGGCAGACATTCCTTTTTTTTTTTTTTTTTTTTTTGAGATGGAGTCTCGCTCTGTCACCCAGGTTGGAGGGCAGTGGTGCAATCTCACCTCACTGCAAGCTCTGCCTCCTGAGTTCACGCCATTCTCCTGCCTCGGCCTCCCGAGTAGCTGGGACTACAGGCGCCCACTACCACGCCCGGCCAATTTTTTGTATTTTTAGTAGAGACGGGGTTTCACCGTGTTAGCCAGATGGTCTCAATCTCCTGACCTCATGATCAGCTCGCCTCGGCCTCCCAAAGTGCTGGGATTACAGGTGTGAGCCAGCGCGCCCAGTCAGGAGGGCAGAAATTCTTATTCTTTTAACCCATTGAAACGTTAAACAGCCTTTCAGGAGCAGACCCTCCTACGGGTTTGCTGAATCCAAGGCGCGAGGAAGGCATATATCCAGGTTACAGCGAAGTTTGCACCAGACAAGAAGATTTGGGTTCTAGATCTAGATACTCTAGGCAGTTTTTACTGTGTGACCCTGTGCCTGTCACAGTATTTCAGCCTGTAAAATATGGACACTGTTTGCCTTTTTGGCTTCCAGTTAGTGCTGTGAGGATTAATTGAGATATTGAGTGCAAAGCTCATTTGTAATGTGTGGCAGGTGGTTTTATTGCTATTTTGAGCAGTGGTGGAAAAGCCCATTTGAACAGAGAGGATGAGATAAGAGCACGGTGGCCTTGACAACTACCTGGAGGAGCCAGTTGGGTATGGGGAGGTTTGAGCAGGGAAAGAATGTAGTGAAAGCAGTGTCAGGTCAAAGAAAGGTTTGCCTAGGAGTGATATAAAGAATGGGATGGAGGAGTGGGCAGCTGAAGGAGGAAAGAGGAGACATGTCAGAGGGACCAAAAAGGAGGCAGCAAGTCCAAGGTCACAAACCTGAGTAATTAGAAAACTTAGCAGCATCACTAACACCCAGTTGGTGACGTGGAACTGGTGCTCTCTGGGGAGAGAGCTTCAATTCTCAACCAACTAAGTTGAAGGTGATGGTACCATGTAAGTGGCAGACAGAGATAAGGGATAGGTGTCTACAGGGGTAAGATTTGGAGCCAGGAGAATAAACGAGCTTTCCAAGGGTAGTGGAGAGAGACCCAGGATGTGGGGGGCTGGCAGGTAAATGCTTTAAGTGATAGAATAGGAGGGATGAGAAAGCTAGCAAGAGAAATTCACATCCCACATCTTCCATCACTTACATGTCCAGACTTATTGAAGTGGTCCCGGATTCACCAAATTTTATAGAGCTCTGTCTTTGCTTTTATTGGGTAGGCCTGATTTTTGATGGTGTCCTTAAAAGGCTAGCCCGATTCTTCTTGTAGTTTTGTAGAACACTTTGTATCGAGAGTTCTCTGAT